CTTTCTGGCTTCAATCCAACAGAGATTGCATGATCAACATTCAGAATCTTCCCTCTCTGCATGGAGACACTGAACACTCTCTGTAGAGATGCATTTAGTAAACGCATCTTTGTGATGAAATGCTGAATGGTGCTGCACTTTGATTGCCCACTATTGCTTTCTATGGGAAAGCATTGGATTGGCTGAGATCATCCGTAATGGGGGAAAGCAAGTGGAAGTGGGAATGAGACCAGCACGCTGAGGGAATAAAGATAAGTTAATCTCTTTATTTTATTACTTCGGTTATGTCTGGACATTTAAATTAGCCATACCTCACGCTATGTGTTCGGCATACACAAGTAGTATAATTACTGAGATATAGTGAGTTCCTCTTGTTTTGTTAATGTTGATAGTATTGACTGATAGCCAACTAATCACCAACAAATGATTATTATTAGGTAGTAAACTAATAAATATATGGGCAGGTTTACCTCTTTGTTGGTTTGGTAGTCCAATTATGCTCCATCCAGGAGGTAATTTTAAAATATATAATACTGTGTTTTTTACAGTAAAGTAAAGCATACATTATCATATAAAAATGATTATTTGTAGCTGAAAGGGTTAACAATGAAGTACGTGACTACTGTAAATAGACAAGACGATATTAGAAATAGCAATTGTTAAATGTCAGCTTAACGGTAAAACCTGTTGCAGATCATCAAAGAAATAACCTTTTTTTTTTTTTTTTTATATAATTCTTTATTTTTGCTGTGCATGAAATAACTTTTGCATATCAACAATGCCACAACAGCATTCACAATCAATTTACAAACACTTATTTGTTAACTGTTGTACAGCATCTAGAGGAAACTCACACATTTTTTTAGGGTAATAATACAAGTTAAGTACAAGCTGAGTAACTACGTCTGTCTTTTTAAATTACATTGTCAATTAGTAACAGTATCTTAGGGTTAATATTTATGTCGCGTGTCATCGCTTCCATATCTAGACATTGACATGGTTATGGCTGACTATGCTTAAGTGAGAGACATACATTTTGTACAGTAACAGCTGGTCTAAGTAGTCATGACATGCAGTAGTTGAGACAGTGAGTTTGCATTATAGGTTATAATAGATTATGCAGTGCTGACTAACAAGATATATCTAGTTCTATTAAGGTTTCCAACTTAGCTAAGATTCTCATTAAAGTAGGGTGCCACCAGGCAGAGCATCATACATTCAGTTATTTCCCTCTATACTACATATAAAGCTCAGATAAAGACGAGCTATATACAGGGTCATATGCAGAGGATATGCACGTTATTCAATGACTGCAACTACAGTGATATCTGGTATGGCTATTCATGTCATACTATATATTGTGCATCTTATTGTGAACGGCTGGGGTCACTGCCAGCTCCAGCCCAGCGCAAACCCTGAGGTAGTGTGGTCGTGTTCCATGCCCAGGCGTGGGGTGAGTCCCTTGAGATTACCCCATGAGTTCCACTTGGTCCTAATGTCCCGGTTGCTGGGGAAGTTTGCCATGTCTTGATGTGTTGTCGAGGGCTGTAGCACCATGCGGTCAGTGGGTAGAGCTGAGTGTCCTGTTTGTTCTTCCAGCCCAGGTCGTTAGTGGAGCTTGGTTGTAGAGTGCACTTCTGGGGTTGCCGCTTTGAGATGGGCATGTGGAGGAAACGCTGGCTGTGATGGTTCTCGTCTGTCAGCTTGTGTGTTCCAGGGCTGTTACGTGGGGGCTTGAGAGCCCTCAGGGACCCCCAGTGATAGCAGGTTGTGAACACAGAGGGATCACCTTCTGTCGGTGCAGTTGCTTTGCAGCCGTCAGCCATTTTGGTGAGACCGCGTGGGAGCCTCACTCCAGCTTTGGGCCATCCAGGTGAGATGCTTAGGCGTTAGCCCGCCTGGTGGGGACCGGGATGACCCCCCCGGCCCACGGGGGGGGGGAAACGGGACCAGGAAGGCACCAAGTAGATGGTGATTCACTGCAGTCGGGGTGGAGAGCGAGGCAGCGGCCGTCTGCCCCACTCCCCTCCCGGGTAGGCCTCAATCCCCGAGCGCCAGAGTCTCTCACCAGGACCTAGAGCCACCCTGTGGCGGGCGCTCCAGCTACACCGGGACACTCCAGAGCTTCGTGTCATGGACCCCCTGGTCTGTATAAGTCGGGTAAAGTGGGTATATTGCTTATTTTCCGTTGTTTGCTCGGGAGCCCGTGTGATATGCAGCCTGCTGGCATGGCCGCCCGGCCCCGCCCCCAAAGAAATAACCTTTTAATCTCTGGTTACAGAAATACATGTTGTTGGTTGCTGAATAAGCAATATCGTGTTTAGCTGATGTGATCTTGTCATGTTACTTTTGCTGTAACTTCTGTCTATAAATATGTTTGTCTGACCATTAATACACTGGTAGTAGCCCAATTTGAAACACGTTGTCTGTGTATCACTGAAAGGATCTCCTCAAACGTTCGGTCCAAAAGTTAGGTGCATGGAACGCTTTGCCCAGCAGTGTAATATATCTCCAACAGTAACCGAATGAAACAGTGTCAGAACTACAGGGATCGCTGAGGTCACAAGAGGGTCCAGGAGGAGGCCGGCTGTATACTTAGGGCCCCCCCGAGATAGTATATATCCACTAAGGCAGAGTAGGCACCTGGATCCATAATACCAGTAGTAGTCAGACACCCAGACCCCTAATACTTATCACCAGATTGTGTAAGTCTGTGACTGTAAAATCACCATCTTATTAGAGAAGACCGTGGCCTATAATTTCCAGCATCATGCGTGATTTCATAACATTGAACCCATCATCATGGCATCCACCAGGGCAGGTGCAATTATATATGGCTAGACACCAATTATTATTATTATTATTATTTATAAAGCACCAACAAGTTCCGTAGTGCTGTACAATGGGTGGACTAACAGACACGTATTTGTAACCAGACAAGTTTGATGCACAGAAACAGAGGGATTCCTCATGTTAGAGGGAGTGGGGTAGGGTAGAAAGTAGGTTGCTTGGATAGTATTCACTGAATTATCAATGAACATGTACTGTGAGACCAGTCATGCCCAGTAGTACTGCAAGGCTTGTGACATGACAGTAATTATTATGGATCACGTATCACATGTATATAAACATAATCAATTATTGGAGTTCCAATGCTCCTGATTTAAAGCTCTGTTTGATGTGTTTTATACACATTAACATCAAGCTAGAATTTACTTGGACACACTCCATTCATGATATATTCCTAGGGGTGCCCTTGTAATCCAGTTAATATCAGAGTTACAGAAAACCGGCAATGTAGCTGAGTTCTTTATTTGGAGAGTCCTAAAGAGACTGTGTTTATTGATTCAACTCCTGCTGTAGTTATTTTTGTTTCTACCCCTTGATCCGCTCATTTTAAGATTTGTTCTGTTCCCACAACTGAAAATTGCACGCCTTCCATGTGACTCGATGAATAGTATTCTTATTATTGCAATTTATATAGGAACTACTAGTTACATGTGACCCAAATGATCACTAAACCAGCAACTGTACAGAGCTGGCATTAATAAAGCTTTATAGTCAGGGTTTGTCCAAGGTAGCAAAGTTATATGAAATTCACAAAGATTTATGTATCTTATGGATTCCCGGAGATGCGAGGGACAGTAAAGTATTAACGTCCTTAAATTAACATTCAACACACCCAAGGCACTTTGGCTTTATGAAGTGCTTTATGTGTGAAGAGTGTGTCCCTATTATTAATAATACAAAAAGTACAGATTTCAGTAGAAATGGTCACTTTTATAAATGTAACATGTTACACCTCTTTGGCTGTCAATCAGACAACTGGTCCTGTTACTTCCTGGTTGGTTTAGCAGACAATTGCTCAGAGCACCTGCCTTGAGCTGCATTTGGAAGTCTGTGATTGGACAGATTTAAAACATCTGGGCTGTGGAAGCAGGGGAGGGCCTGTAAAGAGATATGCAGCATTTCCTAGCTGTTTTTAGACATAATTAAAATGAAAAATGCATTATTGAATGTTTTAATTGGGGGTGTACCTACTAAGCTGTAAAAAAAGTTTTGTTTTTCTAATTGGCATGTGTCTTTAAATCTATGTGCCACTCTCAATCTGCTATCTGTGAGGCTGTTGGTGGTTCCCAGGTGGACAGACCAACTGCTGTCTGAATTGTAACTGTTTTATGGACTTTACAACAACCATAGACAGACTATAATGGGCTAATACCATATAGCTATTATTCATTAGTATACTATATAATATATAAATATAAGTGCAATATGTTAGTATATAATGGTACCATTACATAAATGTCCTTTTACTGAAAATAAATCTGAAATTGTCCAGTTATATAAAGAGCTCGACTCCTTGTTCTTTTCAACCATTGTAGTTCTCCCTGTATCCCGATCCTTCAAACCCCTGATTTGATATGGTATTTGGATTCACCTTTTATAAAACAGGTCAGGTCGGATTCTAGGCACGTTTCATTCTGGTATTTAAGGTTAAATTCACTGACTACACATGGGGCTGGTATCAAAGGTTACTTCTTCAATCTAGGTGTTACCTTTATCTGTCTATGTTTTACGAGTACCTCTATATCGTTATTTAAAATATACCCCACTCATTAGGATTGCAATTTGAGGCAGCGTATTCAATTTATGACCAATCAATAAAGTACATATTCAAACCTCCTCTACATTTACGTCAGCCAAATATATTCAATATTTACAAAATCCTTCGGAACATTCCGCAACGCTATACATATCACATTGTACATTGCTTGATATTATGTATGTACTGTAAAAGTTCATCAATACAATACCATGTCATGGCACACAGGCACATTAATAGATGTGTTATATTGTTATATCTATACATCCATATTCACATATATACACTTCATACAAACATACAACAATGCACACGTGTGTATATCCCACATGGTGTTTCTAAAACCAGGAATTTTCCACAATTCCTAGTTTTGCAAATAAACTTTTTAAAGAGTCTTCTTCTTAATGACATATTTATCATTACAAATCTGTTAATCATTTTAAAGTTCTCAATCTACAAATACAAATAAAACTGTAGGTGGTTATTAGCTTAATCAGGGTGTCTGGGTATAATGGGAAAGTATAGTCCATAAACATCTGGGGTGCCACGATTAGCCATATTGCATGAGATCCACAGGCAGGAATGTTCAAACAGAGGTCTATGGTTTCCATAATATATGGATACATTGTGTGTATCATTATCCAAGGTTCTCAGAGCCAAAAATCACTACGTTCCTCCCTCTCCTCACCTGTTGTTATACATATCTTACAAGTAAAAGAGCATAACGTGTAATGGTGTAACTTTCACGTTTAGTTCCACAAAATCCAAACAGATATTCATTATGGAAAGATTAGCAAAAAATAAAAAAAATGCCATAAATCAATAGAAAGTCCGATTGGCGAATGAGTAGCTGGAGAACAGGTAGAGTCCATTTCTAGCCCTCTGTTTAGACTGCCAGATTCTGCGTGATTAGGTTAATGGTAATTAAAAATAACCATGAGTATATTAGTTAAGGTGGTTGTACCTTATATAGAATGTCAGTGGGGAAATTGATATTTCAGATTGAAACACTACAATGCTTTCATATATGAAATATGAGGCAATGCGTCTCAGTTACCCTCTCTTTTTACAGACAAAACCAGAACACTAGGTCTGTAGGGGCCCAAGTTTTATTGCCATTCCAAAGGGGTAATGCTTAAATGATGGGCTATTGATGACCCCAGAGCACTGGTTTGAGGAGCACAGGTTTAGGGGATGAATGGATAAGAATTAATTTGTGTCATATTGGTGCACTGACTATGCTACAAGCTCTTATAAATAGAACAGACATTCTTTGACTTTGTCATCTTTGATTATATTGCTTGTCTCTTGGTAAAACTTAGGCAATGTTCTAAACATGTTCATATATCTCAAAACTTACTAACATAAATATAAGGTAAAGATCAGATCATATGGGGGTGGGTGGATAGAAGGGGCTCTCAACCGGTGCTTCAACGTTGCCTTTTGCCCGAAATATCTCCTCTTCTTTTTGCACCTCTACCCCTTTCTAGTCACCAGGAGCACAGTAAAATGTCCCTTAATGTCTTCCTCAGCTCTCGACTCCTGAAGGCATAGATTATGGGATCAATGACAGAGTTACAGATGATGAGGATGATGTAGAAGTTAAAGAATTTGAAGTAATTAATACAGAGAATGTGTTTAGGACATGACAATATCAAGGTGAGATGGAGGAAGAAGGGGCCCCAACACACAAAAAAGATGCCCAACAGGATGGAGAGAGTAACTGCACCCTTCATGTTTACTCTGGAATGTGGTACCATAACCCTTCTCATCGTTCCCATTTGCAAAGTAGTGATGCTCCGTGCGTGGCGTCGTGCAAGGGCAAACATGTGAATATACAGAGCTACCATCAAGACCATCATGAGGACAAAGAAAACTATAAGACAGAGAATGACTTCTTTTTTCTCCGAATAGATGATAAAAAGTACACTACAGACTGTGCTGAACAGCCAGATGCCACTGATGACTATTAACACTCTGCGGTGTGTCATGATATTGTGGTAACGAAGGGCATAGAAAATTGTTATGTAACGGTCTACAGCGATGGCTGCGAGAAAGGACAGAGAAGACACTACAGAGCAGCAGATCATCATATCGAAGATGTTATCCACCTGGATTTCCGTTTTCCCGTCAACCACTATGACTCCATAGTTTCTCAAAAACATGTACATGGACTCCATTAGATGGCTAATACTGACCAACATGTCAGATACAGCTAGACAGCAAAGAAAATAGTACATTGGGGAGTGAAGGTTGTGGTTCTTCAAAATGGCTACCACGACCAGGATGTTCTCTACCAGAGTGAACAAGCACAGGGCCAGGAATATCTCTTCCGGGACATGCACAGAAATAAAGGTTTGGTTGGCTACTTGTTCAGAAACATTGGACAGGTTGTAGTTGGTGGAGTTTATCGTCAAGCCTGGTCCTCTTAGTGAGGACATAGTGAGCGGTGACCTGCAAGTCAAAAAATAGAATTAGAGAAACACAAAAAGGCCATGGTCCTTAAATTGTCCTAAGACACAACTTTCAAATGTTGACCGTTCATAGGAAAAAACAGCACTGGCTAGAAATGGAACAGGTCCATACACCAGAGTTGTGATGGTTGGGAGATACAATGGGGCATAACCCCTAGAAATACAATGAAAAAGAGGACTAATAGGTCATACTCGATTTGTTTCATTCACTGACATATTGTATTTATGCTTTATCACACCACATTCATACATTGTTATATTCATACACCAACACATTCCATACATAGTAACATTTATACACTGACACACTACATACATAGTTACGTTCATACACTGACACACTTCATATATTGTTACACTCATGCATGAACACTACATGCTTAGTTACACTCATACGCTGACCCATTCCATACATAGTAACATTCATACTCTGACACACTACATTCATTGTTACATTTATACACTGACACACTACATACATAGTTACATTCATACACTGACACACTTCATACATTGTTATATTCATACACCAACACATTCCATACATAGTAACATTTATACACTGACACACTTCATACATAGTAACATTTATACACTGACACACTACATACATAGTTACGTTCATACACTGACACACTTCATATATTGTTACACTCATGCATGAACACTACATGCTTAGTTACACTCATACGCTGACCCATTCCATACATAGTAACATTCATACACTGACACACTACATACATTGTTACATTCATTCACTGACACACTTCATACATTGTTATATTCATACACCAACACATTCCATACATTGTAACATTCATACACTGACACACTACATACATAGTTACATTTATACACTGACACACTACATACATAGTTACATTCATACGCTGACCCATTCCATACATAGTTACATTCATACACTGACACACTACATTCATTGTTACATTTATACACTGACACACTACATACATAGTTACATTCATACACTGACACACTCACACATTGTTATATTCATACACCAACACATTCCATACATAGTAACATTCATACACTGACACACTTCATACATAGTTACATTCATACACTGACACACTTCATACATAGTAACATTTAAATATGGACACATTACACACAAAGTTACATTCATACACCGACACACTTCATACATAGTAACATTTATATATGGACACACTACATACATAGTAACATTCATACACTGACACACTACATTCATTGTTACATTTATACACTGACACACTATATACATAGTTACATTCATACACTGACACAATCCATACATAGTAACACTTATACACTGACACCCTACATACATAGTTACGTTCATACACTCACACCCTTGATACATAGTTACATTCATACACTGACACACTGCATACATTGTTACATTCATACACTGACACAATCCATACATAGTAACACTTGTACACTGACACACTACATACATAGTTATATTCATACACTGACACATTCCATACATTGAAACATTTATACACGGACACACTACATACATAATTACATTCATACACTGACACATTCCATACATAGTTAAATTCATACACTGACACACGCCACACAGCTACAGTCATACACTGACACATTCCATACATAGTTACATTCATACACTGACACATTCCATACATAGTTACATTCATACACTGACACACACCATACATAGTTACATTCATTTACTGACACATGCCATACATAGTTACATTCATGCACTGATACATGCCATACATAGTTACATTCATGCACTGATACATGCCATACATAGATACATTCATACACTGACACATTCCATACATAGTTACATTCATACACTGACACATTCCATACATAGTTACATTTATACACTGACACATTCCATACATAGTTACATTTATACACTGACACACGCCATACATAGTTACATTCATACACTGACACACACCATACATAGTTACATTCATGCACTGACACATGCCATACATAGTTACATTCATACACTGACACACAATATACATAGTTACATTCATACACTGACACACAACATACATAGTTACATTCATGCACTGACCCATGCCATACATAGTTACATTCATACACTGACACACATCATACATAATTACATTCATACACTGACACATTCCATGCATAGTTATATTCATACACTGACACACTGCTTTCATGAATTCTTACCATATTACATGAAAATGGCGTGCACATTATACACCCTTCTGAATTAGTAATAGTACATTTTAAAGATTTTTCTCAAGAAGTTTAAAAAATATGTGAGTTCACAACTGGTTCCTGAGAATAAGCCAGGGTATACAGAAGTAAATGGGAGCCTTTTCTCCTTTTGGGATGTAGAATATATGTAGCCTTTGAGCTATAGCGCTGTTTGGATGCTGTGTGTCAGATTAGGTAATATAAGAGAGTTTACTTATTGGAGCTGCATCCTTTGTTGGGGGTGATTTACAATATATTGGAATAATACAATTACTAGGAATCTTTCTTTGAAAGTCAATGTGTTCACTAAAACCACTATTTAAACATTTCCCCACCATACCATCCAGCTTTACTCACACACCATTTGCCCTTTGTATTGGTGTCAATACATGTGTATAAACTATTTAAACCACTGTTAAAATGAAGAATGTCAGGTTCTCTTTAATCCCATATAAAATGTAGACAATTCTTCTATATCAGATGATATTCATTAACCATACGTGACGGTTGGTTATTATCTGCTTGTCATCTGGAGGGAGAATTCTCACAGCGTTAGTAAATCAGTCGCTAGAGCTGCGTTGCCCCGCTGGCTCTCTGAGGGTTAATCCCCTTTCTTTTCTATTTATGTAATTGTGTATTTTGTTTTCTTGCTAGGACTTGTGGGGAAATGACCAGATTAATACTGTTATATTACCCATTGTACAGTGCGATGGAATCTGATGGCGCTATATAAATAATAAAATAATAATAATTACCCCAGCTATATTTATTGTGGTTTAATTTGTGCAGTTACCTTGTCAGCTCACCACACAGTATTGTTTAATTAACAAAGTATTAGACAGGATATAAATCTGCACCACAAGTACTGCTGCTGTACAACACCCATCATTCCTTGCGAGCCAGAGTCCGCAGGGAGTTATGGGAGCTGTAGTCCGGTAGTTTCCCCGCAGTTTTACTTCTCTGTAATACGTCCTTGTTTAGTGTTATGTCCTTTTTTTAAATTCTGCAGGTGGATAAAGCAGTATGGATGAGGTGCGGGCAAGATGTATAGACACAGTGAAAACCTCCCTCAACCCTTCAATCAGTATTGGCAGAGATCTAAAAAGAAAATCTGTGATAAAACAGAAAAAAAAAAGTTTATTACCTTACTGTCGGATCACAGTGTACGATCAGTGTAATCAATGTCTTCAACCTGCTTCTTCGGACTAAGGTACAGAGCAGAGAGATCTTCGTTTATCCGGGAATGTAGGTTTAGTTCTTAGGGATCCTCGTCCCACTATTAAAATCCGCTGGCTTGTAAGTTGATTTAAAGTTATTTTCTCAGAAAGAGTGCTTAGACGTGGCACAGTTACATTCGATGCTTCAGACATACCAATCTGATGTGATTGTCTTTGCTTGGCTAGGTATCGATGTAGTATCTCCTTTTCCAATCTATCTGTTCGTCCACTGGCCCTCCCCGTTCTCTGACAGAATATATTGTGATATCAGAGCATGCTGTGATATCAGAGTGGTCCCAGGCTCTCATCCGTAACCTCCAGCACCTTCTTCCAAGTATGTCAGTCAATGCACCCTGTACTAGTTCTTAGTACATCCTTGGTAGGCATGCCAACCCTCAAAGCTTAGTTTGCGCTCCCAGGACTGCCGTGTCCCTTCTTCGGAGGTTGGAGAAAAATAATGCAACTTTTCCCTGCTTAGTCCTTAAAGGCATCTGATCAGCCCCTCCTAATAAGCAGGATGGATGCACACATGACTAGTGAGGCCAGAGGCTGTGACAAGTTATGAAACTTCACATAGGATGCAATAAAGGTTCTCCACCCTTAACTTTCAAAACAAGCCACAAAAATACATATATATTGATCAGATAGTCCCAAACGGGTCACCAATAAGATTTCCATGTACTGGGGGCACCAAATTGAATATACATATTTAGTAAATGGCATTGTTACTGCTTATTCAGACATAACCAAGCTCTCCATTTACATTCTGAAACTGCCCACAGTAATGCAAAATTCAGTAATCATCAAATTCATTGATTCATAAGTGAGAATAGAACACTCAGCACAAATTCTAATCAGAAAATTTTAGGAATCCGTTTATTTTTTTTATACTTTTTTATTAGGTGCTAAATAAAAAAACTCATTAAAAAAAATCCTTAAAAGGGCTCTGTCAACTCCTGAGGTTTTTGCATAGTTTGCAAAGACTCCCGATGGTGACATCGCCGGTCTGCGTGGTGTTCCAGGGGCGCAGCGGAGGTCCCCCTGGGCACTGTTATCTTCTGTCTTCGGCTCCTGGCGCGTCATTCATTCCATAGATACTATCAGCGCGACAATGACCTTTTTCCACAGCTGTCAATGATGTCCAGAGGAACTGACAGAACTTGACGGTAACAGCTCCAATTTTTGTTAAGTTTTATCAGGTGTAGGAAAAATACCCTACAGTCCCTACTTTGTATTACGATGTCCTTTAATTGTGTGAAAATCCAACACAGTCAGTTTGAGTATTTTATAAAGATTTTATTTTTATGAAAAACGTAAATTGTGTTTTGTTTTATTGTTTTAACTTGTTAACGGACACAATCTCAATTAATGAAAGCCAATATATATACACACTACCTAAATTCAGCCTCGGGATGGGAATGAAAAGCAGCCCTGGAAAGAAATTCTATACCAGCCCCGTAATGCATCGCGCCAGCATAGTGTGCAGATATGGATGCGGGAAAAAAACTGAAAATGGAAAACTATCACTCACTTCATAATAAACAAAAGAGCGGATTTATTGTAAGCAGACCTGCATTTGCATATAATCAATGTTTCAGTCCATTTTCTTATAGATATATTAAGGAAAGTTTGGTCATTTGGACTGAAATTGTAAATGTATGTTATGGCACAGCAGTAAAAAAATGACATTATCTTGTTTATTTTTAAGTAATAAGAGTGTGCTCTTCACTTTGGCTGACAACTGGCAACACCAATTTAATTCCCATAGGAAAGCATTGGGAGGCTATTTCGCATGTGTGGCAAAACGCTGTGCTTCACCACACCAATCAGCATCTCCTCATAAATTGCTTCATTGCATCTCTATGGGGAGCATTCAGTGCCTCCATGCAGAGAGTGGAGATGCTCAACATAGGTGCTGCACACTGTGCAGCCCTGGACTAGGAAGCAGCTCTAGTGGCCGTCTGAGTGACTGTCACTAGAGATGTTCCTAGGCAGCAATGTGAACACTGCCTTTTCTCTGAAAAGGTAGCATTTACAGTGCTCAGCATACAGGGACAGGCTATAGACACCAGAACCACTACATTAAACTGTAGAAATTCTGGTGACGTTAGTGTCCCTTTAATACGAAGTCTTTCTCTCACCGGCCGACTCTGAGTTACAGGGAGAGCAGGAGACACAAGTGAAGATGCATTTTGGTTTTTTATTTAAAAATTTTTTTATTATTTTGTATTTTTGCAGTGCATGAGAAAATAACAGCAAGCCTGAGGTACCCCAACGGCAATTCTCAGGTTTATAGTCATGCATTACATTTGGGGTGAACAGGGAGAAGATGCACAATTTTATATTTTTAAACAGGCTATTAATATGTCAAGTTAGAGCTTAGAATACGTGTTTGCTAGCTGACATCACCTTCCGAATAACACACCATTGAAAAATACAGAACATGGTATACGCCCAGTGTAGAAGCGCATTTAGAGTGAGGTATAACTTGCTACCATTAACTAAGGCATGTCACTGAGTGCTTGATGCTGGGTATACTAAGCCTATTGTGTAGGTAGATTAGTATCTGCAAATAACATGCGAGACCCACTAATGTTGCTGAGTTTAACCACTAATGTTGCTGAGGTTAATGTGATGGCTAAGGTGATGAGATACTAAAAAAATAAAAGAAAATAAACAGGCATTAAAACACGCTAAACCATATTTAACGCTAGCTCCTCTTTATGGCCACTGGGTACTAAACGTCCTGAGATTACTTAAAGAGAAGATGTCGCTGCAGTAGAGCTGTAAGTTGTTTCTGGGTAGTCATTCGGCCAATACCGCAGATGGGCCAGCGAAGACCATCAGACCTCCCGTCCGGTGGGTCTGCTCTGCTCCCAGTCAGGAGAGGCCGTGTGTTGTGCCAGGCTCTGTGTTTGCAGATCGCAATTGGTGTGCTACGCCTAGGCTTTCCACCTTCCTGAGCACAGGCTTTAGGGGGAGCCCTTGCCGCGTTTCCAGGGACCCTCTGTTTTATTTTGGCGGGGTCACGGGCGTCGGGGAACCCTCCGGGTATCTGGGCGGCTAGCTGGCTGTGTCACCAGGTGGGCCCCCAGCCCAGTGCAGGATCCGTGGTCCGATGTGTCTTCTCGATAGGTCAGTGAAACTCGTGGGCTTCGGCTCTCGATGCATTGCCAGAACGCATTGCACAGTTGGTTAAACCTGGCTTCAAAGTTTTCCCGCCAGGTCTGGATGTCCGATCCCTTCCTGGCATGTGGAGGCTGTGGTTTAGTGGCCATCTTGTGTTCGCTATGCGTGCTCCGGTTTTGAGAGGTTCCGTTGTTGCAGGGAGATGCTTGCCCCCAGTGGAGACCGGGATGTCCCCCACCGGTCCTGAGGGGGGGCGGCTGCCCATCTGGGTTGTCGCTTCTCAGTGAGCGTCCCGGGTCGGGAGATCGGCCGCCTCCCCCGGTTCCCAGGACGTCGTTCTCGCTAGGCCAGGCATAGTTGTTCCCCCACTCAAGGTATGATGGGGCATGATAGCAGTGTAGGCACCAGAGGAGGGCTTGGGGAGGAGGAGGAGGATAATTTGAAGGAATTGGGGGCATGGTGAGATACAAAGGGTGACTGCAAAATAAGTAGACTTACCAAACACTCACCAAACTTTTACATACTGGGGGGAGGGGGTGGGGGCGGCATCAAGGCAAGTGCCCTCAGAATGTCCTGGGAAGCTGCTGTCCAAATTATCTCCTCTCTCAGACCCCTCCCATCCCCCCTCTAGGAATATAAAACACAGCTACTCCCTTAGATCTGCATCCCTTAAACAAGCTGCAGGGGCTAAAGTCAGCAGCACCTCCGCCCCCAGCTTCAACCATGTGGCCATGCTGACCGGAACAAGCTGGGAGACTAGGAGCAACTTGCAGCTCTTCAACCCCAGCAAGGGGTGAGAGACAGCGGTCTTGTGTGTGCTAGTGTGCTGTGTGTAGTGACCTTCTGTGTGCATGTTGTGAGCTGTGTGTGTGTGTGTCAGTGAGCTGTCTGTAGTGCACTGTGTGATCTTGCATAATTGGGTATATTAGTGAGCTGTCTGTAGTGCACTGTGTGATCTTGCATAATTGGGTATATTAGTGAGCTGTCTAGTGCACTGTGTGATCTTGCATAATTGGGTATATTAGTGAGCTGGTGTGTAGTGAGCTGTTTTTATTGAGCTTGTATGTATCCAAAAGCTTTCTGCAGTGAACTGTATGTCCTGATTTTTCTGTAGTGAGCTTGTGTGTCTGTGGCTGAGCTTGAGAATATGTCAGTGAGCTTGTGTGTAGTGACATTGTGTACATATCAGTGAGCTGTCTGTGGTGAGCTTGGGATCTTGTGTGTGTGTGTGTGTGTCAGTGAGCATTCTGTAGCGTGCTGTGTGTAGTGCGCGTGTGTGCACATCAATGAGCTGTCTATAGTGAGCTCTGTAAGTTTGTGTGTAGTTAACTGTTTGTGCATTTACACCCTACTGGAAGTATGTATATTCAAAACAGCACATGCATTGACGCGGACAAAGTGCAACAGTGTTTACGATATTGGCCAAAGCGGAACCATATAACCCTGGACATTAGAGGCCTGGCTGCCCGCCTCCTACCATAGCGACTATGGCCTAGTGAAAATTTGTGCTTTTAGTAATATTTGGGCATGTAATATTTTATATTGCTGCTACTTGGCCCTTTAAGGAGCCATCCGGCTATATTATGACTTTCAAGAACAATACCTTTAAAGACTTGATAGCTTGAATTACAGTAAGGATTTCTTTTATTGTATGTTTCTGTGGCAATTTATTTCAAATTGTATATGTGTATGCGGCATTCACTGATTACGGTAGAATCACTCCATTCATTATATATTGGTAGAAACTACCGAACAACAGACTCCTAGGAAAAAGTGTGCCTCAGTACCATTTGCAACAATATTGCAAGCGAACAATTAGCAATGCTAATAATATTAGTTTTGTCCTAATTGTGGCGGCGGAAGCAGACTGCGTGGCGGCGGCCATCTTAAACTCGAACAGCGGTGTTTGCCGTCGGTGTCTGGAACTAAAATCGGACACTGACTAAGAGCAAACACCGCTGAGACCTCCGGACTTCATGAATTAAAATTGTGGAAACTGAGAATGACCCACGTTAGGTAGAAAGAACCCCACGAACAAAGTTTAAACCTTCCCAAAGGCTCTATAACCCAGAGGCAATTAGTGTGTTTTCATTCCCTTTTCTTTTTTTTTTTTTTTTTTGTCTTTATTGTCAAAAATTTTCATACAAACAGAGCTGTACATTGAGTTAACATAGAGTACATAACATAATGAGCAGAACATGGTGTCATGTTGTGGAGCCAAGATAGTGTGAGGAATGTCGTCGGAAGAATTCTTCCGGGTCGCAAGGTATGATGTCCACATTCCATTATGCACTTATGGGTCAGTTCTGAGCAGTAAACAATATTCATCAGTAAATTTTCAAGCATTCAACATTGTGCATTAACTTCACTCTGACTGGTCCTGTCTAACTTATTTGTGTCAGGTAGGTTATAGAGATCTTAGAGGCTTTAAAGAAAGAGATAAATAAATTGAGTTAATTTTGATTTTGGCGGGGTCGTACAGGTTGGTAAGTGTAAGTTCCAGTCTGGTGGGGTTGGTAAGTGTAAGTTCCAGTCTGGGTGCTGTGGGTTCACAGACCAGGTGTTGCTGGTTGATTTGCCAACCTTTTAAGTAAGTTGGTTGGGAGTTGGTGTTCTGGAGGTCTCATCAGTTTTTAGGAAGTGTAGCCACGGGCTCCAGGTGCGTTCATAGGTGTTGTAGGAGTGTGACCTCGAGTAGTGTATTTCTTCTAAAAGGCGTATGGAGTCAACCTTATTGATCCATGTCCGGATGGTGGGCACTTCTGTTTTTTTCCAGTGGCTAGGGATGAGGGCGTTTGCCGCTGTGAGAAGGTTGTTGGTTAGGGGTTTTGTGTTCTTGGGAAGTGATGGAGGGAGGAGGAGGAAGAGTACAATTTCTGGGGATTGGGGCAGTTGTACGTTTGGACCAGTAAGTGCAGATGACCGGACACGTCCACCATATGTGGCTTGGGGTTCCCTGAGGGTGTTGGCATCTCCAGCACTGCGCGGAGGCATTCGGGAAGATTGCGTGTATTTTGGAAGGAGTAAGGTGCCACCTGGATAGTCGTTTAAAGTTCCCTTCCTGTGTGTGCGTGCTCATGTTTGTTTTGTGTACATTGGAAAACACGTGTTTCCAGTCTGATTGCGTTAGGGAGAGATTGAGTTCGGATTCCCAGGCTTTTGTGTATTTGGGCAGGACGGGCGATATTTCCGTTTGCATTAGTTTGTATAGGAATGAGAGGTGCTTCGTTTTGATATCGCTGGAGACACAGTGTTGTTCAAATGAGGTGAGTTGCCGGTGTCCCTGGAGGATATTGGGGGTGGTTGATAGGAAGTGGGTGAGCTGAGAGTGACGGAATTTTTGTAGGGTCGTAGGTTGCGTATCTTCCCAGATCGCGCTAGGGGGTCTAATTCCTTGGTCGTCAAGTAGGGTGCGCAATTGCAGGTAGTGGGTGTGTGGGAACGCAGCAAAGGAGGAAGGGGAGAGGCCCGGCGTGAAGTCCGGGTTGTAAGTCAGTGGGTAGAGGGGAGATGGGTGGGGGGATATGCCTAGTTTATTTCTTATTTGTGACCACACTTTAAGGGTGGGTATGATTGTGGGGTGTTTTGTGTGGGCTTGCAAGAGGGAGGTTGTCCCTGTTCCTTGCCACGGCATAGTGAGGAGGGGATGTTGAAAGGCAGATTTTTCAAGGAGCACCCAATGTTTGGGGTTGTTGGGGATGGTCCATTCGTAGACTCTGTGTAACATAGTAGCCTTGTAGTATAGTTCTACGTCTGGGAGGCCTAGGCCGCCGTGGAGTTTGTGGCTTGTAAGAGTGTTGTATGTGAGCCTAGGGGGAGAATGCGACCATATAAAGCGGGTGAAGGTCCTCTTAATGTCGGTGAAAAAGGATGTTGGTAGTGTAATGGGGAGGGTTTGGAGAAGATATAAAAGTTTGGGGAGGACATTCATTTTGATAATATTAATGCGGCAAAGCCACCCGAAGTGTGGCTTGTGCCACTTGGTCAGGTCACGAGAAATAGTCTGTAGCAGTGGCGGGAAGTTTAGATCGTATAAATCTGTGAGATGGGTTGGTAGGTGTACTCCCAGGTATTTGACATCCCTGGGCGCCCAGAGGTTCATTCCCTTTTCTGTGACTGACTGCAGGGCCAAAATACATGGAACTATTTTCGGATACTTTTGCCATGCAGTTGATCAAAACTTTAACCCTCCATAATTCCCGAACCCCTGGTCCGATCTTGGTGATTTTTGGATATGTGTCTCACCCAGATCAGGGCTACCAGGGGATGTAACATTTAAAGGGGTAACCCTATGTTTAGGGGTACATCCAGTAACCCAGGGAATTTGTGTCTGTACTAATGGGATTATGTGTCACACTAAGGGGAGCAGATGTGTGGGAGGTAACTGGTACATTATTGGCTGGGGTACTAATTGTTGTGGATCCCTCCCTTGCATGGGATAATGTCTTAAAAGAAGGTTGTGTAAATAAATCTGCAGTTCTGCTTGACCCTCAAAAGGAAGTGTCGTCTCGTTACTGGGGGAATCTGCTACAAAGGATTGCTATGCTATTCATACTCCCTTGCTATATCACTACTAAGCTCTTGTAAGAGCTTGTTCCTGTCTTGCTCTCTGGATGAGTCTACAGTGGTTATGGTGTCTGCTGCAGTGCTTGGAGCCCTCAGGAAGCGCTAGGAGCATCCTTCAACGGAGGTACCCAGTCGGGATGCCAGGTGATCCGTTACAATGATTATAACACTAAGATACAAACATGCCTTCATACACATACCCTCACACCATATACAAATAAAATGCACACTTATTTGAAACATAAGGGGCCCTATAGGGGATTTTGCCATGGGGCCCAGAAGGCTGTCAGTCCGCCCCTGCTGCTTGATCAAAGCTGTTTTGTGGGCATTACTGGGCAGAAGATGCCCATATTCGACTCTATGTCGCAGGAGATGAGCTGCCACACGTCTGGCCACCTTGGCTTCCAGGTCCCGCCCCCAAGATGCATTTTGTTTGTGTCTTTCTCCCCCAAGCCCCTTTCATGTGTCTCTTAGCCCCAGCCCCATTGTCTCTTTCTCCCTTTCCCTGGCCCTTCTGTGAGTCTCTTTCCCAGGCCCCAACAACTCTACAGGGAGTGCAGAATTATTAGGCAAGTTGTATTTTTGAGGATTAATTTTATTATTGAACAACAACCATGTTCTCAATGAACCCAAAAACTCATTAATATCAAAGCTGAATATTTTTGGAAGTAGTTTTTAGTTTGTTTTTAGTTATAGCTATATTAGGGGGATATCTGTGTGTGCAGGTGACTATTACTGTGCATAATTATTAGGCAACTTAACAAAAAACAAATATATACCCATTTCAATTATTTATTATTACCAGTGAAACCAATATAACATCTCAACATTCACAATATACATTTCTGACATTCAAAAACAAAACAAAAACAAATCAGTGACCAATATAGCCACCTTTCTTTGCAAGGACACTCAAAAGCCTGCCTGTAAGCGTTACTTACCTTAACCGAGGGCGGTCGGCGGTCCTCTCTTTAAACTGGCAGTCCTGCGGCTTCTGCGAGCATTGTAGCGGCTCATCCAACACCAGTTGGGCCCGGGCAGTGACCCGGCGTGGCGATCCGTGTCCCGCCTGGATGTAAAGCGCCCTTGAGAGTCTGGTGGCGGCTGTAAAAAGGGACAGTGGGTGCCTAAATTGGAAAAGGCATCCCATTGGTCCCTGTCATGCCACACTCCCCATACACTTACCTTTTGGGGGCATGGATGTGACAGGGACCAATCAAATTAGATGTTTAGGTATTTATACTCACCTTCTTCCCTTTGTTCCTTGCCCTATCGTGGTTTCTGTTTCAGTTCCCTTTAGCGCTTGTGGTGTTCAGTTGTGTTTTCTCGTATTAACTTTGGCTTCGTATTCTGACTTCGTTTTCGCTTTATCCTTATCTGTACTGTTTGCCGGCTAGCTGTTTTCCGTGTACCAGACCCCGGCTTGTCCTAGTTTACGCTGTCTCTCTGTGCCCTTGACCTCGGTTTGTTCCTGGCTCTGTCTTCTCTCATATACGTCAAGTCCGGCCATTCTAAGGTCCGGTAGACGTATCTCTCCTCTGTATTTGCCTCTGTTTAGCTGGATCCTGAGTGTAGGGGTATATTCTCGTTACATTACGATAGGGCCATGGACCCCGCAGATTTAGCTCAACAGATGGCGTCCCATGAGGCAAGATTTGTAGAGCAGGATCACCGTATGGATCAAATAGCTCAGGCTCTCCAGACGCTCCTAGCTAGAACCATTCCCGCAACTACACCTAACCCTCCTACGCCCCTTCTCCCTGAAGTATCTACTTTGCCTAATACTTCGGCCCATTTAACACCTCCTCCTAGGTATGGAGAGGACTCTAAGACTTGCAGAGGGTTTATTAATCAGATTGAATTTCACTTTGAAATGTATCCACGTTCATTTCCCACAGAGAGGTCTAAGGTTGGGTTCTTTATGCACCAACTTACCGATAAGGCACTTGAGTGGGCAAATCCTATTTGGGAGGCTAATGGGCCTATGGTACATGATTTCAACAGTTTTCTTACGGCTTTTCGTAGAACTTTTGACACAATGAAAAGGTCAAAGAATGCCGCGAGAGCATTAATGAGAATTAAACAGGGTTCTAGGTCTGTGGCTGATTATGCTATTCAGTTTCGCACTCTTGCTTCGCAGGTAGATTGGACCAACAATGGGTTAACTACTGCCTTTATGGAAGGTTTGTCAGACACGATATTGGATGAGGTAGCAGCTAAGGAGCTTCCTATTGCCTTAGAGGACCTTATCGATTACCTCATTGATATTGATAATAGAATTCGTGACAGGCTCTATACCAAGAACAGGAATAGGCGTTTTGTTACACCCATTAACCCCAGAGTTAATATACCAGAGAGTGTTAAAGTGTCTGAGGAGGAACCTATGCAATTAGGGGTTGCCAAACTCTCTGATACTGAGAAATTACATAGGAGAAGGGAGGGACTCTGCCTATACTGTGGTAGGAGACCATATGGTAAAGGAATGTCCTTTACTCCCGGAAAACTCTCGCACCTAAGACCTTATAGGGGACTGGCCTTGGGTGTGATATCTAAGTCTCCTAAATTGCCTCCTAACCGCTTGCTTCTCCCGGTTTCTTTATATATGGGAGAGATTTGTATAGTTGACAACATATATGCTCTGGTTGACTCTGGGGCAGCTGAAAATTTTATAGACTCTGGCTTTATAAAGAGAAACAGCATTCCCATCAGAGAGAAGGAGATACCCTTGGCCGTTGAGGCCATAGATGGTAGACCATTAAGTTCTCCAGTTGTTACTCATGAGACTGAACCACTACACATGTACACAGGGGTTTTACACTACGAAACCATTCGATTCCAGGTTATCACTTCTCCCTCTTCACAGTTAGTATTAGGGTATCCATGGTTACGTGCTCACAATCCCATTTTTGACTGGGAGACAGGGCAAATAAAATCATGGAGTAAGGCCTGCCACGAGTCTTGTACGTTGGAAGTCACACCTTTGAATTCTATTGAGGTACCTACCAGTCCTCCTTTGTCTATGGTTATACCCCCTCAGTATTTATCTCTAAAGACTGTTTTTGATAAAAGGGAGGCTGAGAAATTACCGCCTCACAGACCCTATGATTGCGCTATTGACTTGTTGCCTGGCACTATACCTCCAAAGGGCAGGGTGTACCCCTTATCGGTTCAAGAAAACCGTGTCATGGAGGAGTATATTAAGGAATCACTAGAAAAGGGGTTTATTAGGAGATCCTCTTCTCCAGCTGGAGCAGGGTTCTTCTTTGTATAGAAGAAAGAAGGTGATTTAAGACCGTGTATAGATTATAGAGGTCTAAACAAAATCACTATCAAAAATGCATACCCTATACCTTTGATTACAGAATTATTTGACAGGCTGAAACATGCCACTGTGTTCACTAAATTAGACCTTAGGAATGCATACAATTTGATACGTATAAAGGAAAATCACGAATGGAAGACTGCATTCAACACTAGATCCGGTCATTACGAATATACTGTTATGCCATTTGGGCTTTGCAATGCCCCAGCAGTATTCCAAGAATTTATTAATGATGTCTTACGAGATTTTATTCACACGTTTGTTATCGTATACTTGGACGACATTTTAATATATTCTACAGATATACACACTCATCACAGACATGTTACGACAGTTTTGAAGACCCTTCTTGCTAATGGTCTTTATTGCAAGCTAGAAAAATGTCTGTTTGACCAAACCGAAGTCCAATTCTTGGGGTATTTGATTTCCGCTAAAGGTTTTCGTATGGATCCCCAGAAGCTTGCTGCTGTAATAGAATGGCCTCTACCGCAAGGTCTGAAAGCTATTCAGCGTTTTCTTGGGTTCTCCAATTATTATAGACGTTTTATCAAAGGTTTCTCGTCCATTGTAGCACCTATTACCCGTATGACTAAAAAGGATGGCAATACTCGTGTTTGGTCTACCGAGGCACTTCAGGCTTTTGAATTTCTTAAAACTACGTTCGCCTCTGCACCTATTTTACAGCATCCTGTCCCCTCACTGCCCTATATTCTTGAAGTTGATGCTTCGGATATTGGGGTAGGTGCTGTCTTATCCCAAAGAGAGTCGCCTGAAAAGCCATTGCATCCATGCGGCTTCTTTTCTAAACAAATGTCCAAAGCAGAGAAAAATTATGATGTGGGTAATCGTGAACTCCTTGCTATTATTTTAGCACTTAAAGAGTGGAGACATTTGTTACAGGGAACTAAGGATCCTATCCTCATTTTTACGGATCACAAGAACCTATCCTATCTTAGCGAAGCCAAAAGATTGTCTTCCAGGCAGGCTAGGTGGTCACTATTTTTGTCTCGTTTCAATTTTATTATCACCTATAGGCCAGGTGATCGCAACACTAAAGCAGGCGCTCTGTCCAGACAGTTCGAAACTACTGACAAACAGGAGATTGATGTTACTCCTGTCATTCCCCCAGACAGGATAATAGCTACTACTATTTTGTCTATTTCCTCGTCCCTCTTGCAGACCATACAAGCGAAACAAAGCATGGCACCTAGCGAGAGACCTACTGATAAACTGTTCGTTGATGTTCCTGAGAGACGGGATATTATGTCATTATATCATGATACTAAGACCGCTGGACATCCTGGTATTTCCAAAGCGGTGTCAGCTGTTTCTCGGTATTTTTGGTGGGATTCCTTACGAAAGGATGTCACTGACTATATAAGTGCTTGTACTACTTGTGCCTGTATGAAATCCTCCCGTAGAGTTCCTTGTGGGCTGTTGCATCCGTTACCCGTTCCCGAGAGACCTTGGTCTAACCTGTCCATGGATTTTATTGTTGAATTACCCCCTTCAAATGGTAACACAGTGATCCTGATGATAGTGGATCGGTTCTCCAAAATGGCTCACTTCGTGTCTCTTCGCAAGTTGCCCACATCTAAGGAACTGGCTCATATCTTCGCTAGAGAAGTATTTCGATTACATGGGATTCCCGTATCTATTGTATCCGATAGGGGTAGCCAATTTATTTCCAGGTTCTGGAGGGCCTTTTGTTCAGAAATGGGTATTTCTCTCTCATTTTCTTCCGCTTATCATCCCCAGTCTAATGGGGCTGCTGAACGTGCCAACCAGTCTCTGGAGCAATACCTCCGTTGTTTTGTGTCTCACCATCAGGATAATTGGTCTGACCTGCTTCCTTGGGCTGAATTTGCTCGGAATAACGCCACTCATGATTCTTCCGGCAAGACCCCTTTTTACGTTGTCTATGGCCAGCATCCCGTTGTTCTTCCGGCTGCATTCTCCTCACAGGGCATGCCAGTTCTGGATGAGCATTTGGCTGGTTTGCGTAATACTTGGGAGCAGGTTCAGCGTTCTTTGGTGGACTCTGCTACTCGCCAGAAGGCTCAGGCTGACAAGCATCGCAGAGCAGCTCCGTCCTATGTTGTGGGGGACAGGGTTTTGCTTTCCACGCGGAATATTCGTCTCCGGGTGCCTTCTATGAAATTGGCTCCCCGCTTCATTGGACCTTATCGTATTATACATAAGGTTAATCCTGTTTCTTATGCCTTAGGCCTGCCTAAGAATCTACGTATTCCTAATGTTTTTCACACCTCATTGTTGAAACCTTTCGTACGCAACCGCTATACCGGCATACTCCTCCTCCCCCTCCTATCTCGGTGGAGGGTCATGAGGAGTTTGAAGTGTCTGCTGTTCTTGACTCTCGTTTCCTTAGGGGTCGACTTCAGTACTTGGTACATTGGAAGGGTTATGGGCCTGAGGAGCACAGTTGGATTTCGGCTGATGCTGTCCATGCTCCCCGTCTTGTGCGCTCTTTCCATTCACGTTTTCCTGCCAGGCCTGGTCCTACCCGCCCGGGGGGCGTGTCCTCAGGGGGGGGTACTGTAGCGTTACTTACCTTAACCGGGGGCCGGTCGCGGTCCTCTCTTCAAGCCGCGCGCGGTCCTGCGGCTGCACGAGCCGCGCGCGGCTCATCCAACTACTTCGGATGGAGGGCGGGCAGTGACCGCGTGAGGCGGTCACGTGTCCCGCCTGAATCTAAGAGCGCGCCGCGAGTCTCGGGCGCGCTCTTAAAGGGACAGTGGGTGCCTAAATTGGAAAAGGCATCCCATTGGTCCCTGTCATGCCACACTCCCCATACACTTACCTTTTGGGGGCGTGGATGTGACAGGGACCAATCAAATTAGATGTTTAGGTATTTATACTCACCTTCTTCCCTTTGTTCCTTGCCCTATCGTGGTTTCTGTTTCAGTTCCCTTTAGCGCTTGTGGTGTTCAGTTGTGTTTTCTCGTATTGACTTTGGCTTCGTATTCTGACTTCGTTTTCGCTTTATCCTTATCTGTACTGTTTGCCGGCTTGCTGTTTTCCGTGTACCAGACCCCGGCTTGTCCTAGTTTACGCTGTCTCTCTGTGCCCTTGACCTCGGTTTGTTCCTGGCTCTGTCTTCTCTCATATACGTCAAGTCCGGCCATTCTAAGGTCCGGTAGACGTATCTCTCCTCTGTATTTGCCTCTGTTTAGCTGGATCCTGCGTGTAGGGGTATATTCTCGTTACACTGCCATCCATGGATTCTGTCAGTGTTTTGATCTGTTCACCATCAACATTGCGTGGAGCAGCAACCACAGCCTCCCAGACACTGTTCAGAGAGGTGTACTGTTTTCCCTCCTTGTAAATCTCACATTTGATGATGGACCACAGGTTCTCAATGGGGTTCAGATCAGGTGAACAAGGAGGCCATGTCATTAGATTTTCTTCTTTTATACCCTTTCTTGCCAGCCACGCTGTGGAGTACTTGGACGCGTGTGATGGAGCATTGTCCTGCATGAAAATCATGTTTTTCTTGAAGGATGCAGACTTCTTCCTGTACCACTGCTTGAAGAAGGTGTCTTCCAGGAACTGGCAGTAGGACTGGGAGTTGAGCTTGACTCCATCCTCAACCCGAAAAGGCCCCACAAGCTCATCTTTGATGATACCAGCCCAAACCAGTACTCCACCTCCACCTTGCTGGCGTCTGAGTCGGACTGGAGCTCTCTGCCCTTTACCAATCCAGCCACGGGCCCATCCATCTGGCCCATCAAGACTCACTCTCATTTCATCAGTCCATAAAACCTTAGAAAAATCAGTCTTGAGATATTTCTTGGCCCAGTCTTGACATTTCAGCTTGTGTGTCTTGTTCAGTGGTGGTCGTCTTTCAGCCTTTCTTACCTTGGCCATGTCTCTGAGTATTGCACACCTTGTGCTTTTGGGCACTCCAGTGATGTTGCAGCTCTGAAATATGGCCAAACTGGTGGCAAGTGGCATCGTGGCAGCTGCACGCTTGACTTTTCTCAGTTCATGGGCAGTTATTTTGCGCCTTGGTTTTTCCACACGCTTCTTGCAACCCTGTTGACTATTTTGAATGAAACGCTTGATTGTTCGATGATCACGCTTCAGAAGCTTTGCAATTTTAAGAGTGCTGCATCCCTCTGCAAGATATCTCACTATTTTTGACTTTTCTGAGCCTGTCAAGTCCTTCTTTTGACCCATTTTGCCAAAGGAAAGGAAGTTGCCTAATAATTATGCACACCTGATATAGGGTGTTGTCATTAGACCACACCCCTTCTCATTACAGAGATGCACATCACCTAATATGCTTAATTGGTAGTAGGCTTTCGAGCCTATACAGCTTGGAGTAAGACAACATGCATAAAGAGGATGATGTGGTCAAAATACTAATTTGCCTAATAATTCTGCACTCCCTGTATGTGTATCTTTCCTCACTGCTCCTATGTGTGTCTCATTCTCCCTTTTCCCAGCCCCTCAGTGTGCCATGTTCTAAAGCTGATTGCTACCCAGGGTGGGTGGTCTCTCGTTCGGTAGATGAATACAATTTTAACACATACTTAAACAACATTTCACAAGTATTTTGACAGCAGGGAGAAGCTATAACTGAATGTATACATGTAAGTACAGGAAATCCTTCACACTCAGTAACCTCCACATGTGTCCCATTAGCCCCCAGCGTTCCATGTGTCCCATTAGCCCCGTCCCAGTGTCTGTATACCCTCCTCCCAGCCTTCCATGTGTTCTTATATCCCCCTCCTAGCCCTCCATGTATCCCATTAGTTCTCCCCCAGCTCTCCCTGTGTCCCATTAGTCCTCCCAGCTCTCCCTGTGTCTCATTAGTTTTCCTCACCCCAGCTCTCCCTTTCTCCCATTAGTTCCCTCCCACTCCCCCAGGTGTCCCATTAGTTCCCCCCAGCTCTCCCTGTACCTTGCTGTAGCATGGCCGAGCAGGCAGACCTTGGTGGAGGATACCCCATACACAGATAGCTCAAGGGCTGCATGTGTGTTTAGAGTTCATTTAAAAACATTAAAATTGAATGTTAGGTTTGTGTTTGGCTTCATCACACAGCGTAATAACTACAACCACTGCAAAAATTGTCATATAAGCTTCATTGTTGGGCACTGCGATTGCATTACATGCGTCCTATTGGATAATAATGTTCAGGATTGATGGCGTCATTAAAGGAGGAGATGGTCCCAGCGGTGGAATGAAGGTACGTGTTATGGCAATTTTTAATGATTTTTTTTAATAAACCAAGGGGAGCCCATAGTAAAATAATAGAGCACAACTAATGTATATACATTTATATATATTCAAATTTTTCAGTTAATGCAGTTCTGGAAATTGCAGCAAGTGAACTTTACCCGAAGATTATAATAGACACTAAGGCATAGATCGTGAGCTTAGCGCTATTATTTGATTCACAGACATGACTCATTTGGCCCCTAGCTGGTCTCGTGCTAGGTACCATGTGGGCCTTGAAACTGCCAAGTGCTCCTGCGGTGTATTGATATCTTGTCCATTCTGCTTCTACCAGTCCTTCGTGCTGAGTGACTATACCGAGCATGGCTGCTTGGCCTGTGGTGTCCAGTGCTTCCTGGTTTAAAGATTCTTCCCATGGTGATAATCAATGTTTGAGTCAGCCTGTAAGAGAATACGTGCCTTGGTGGTAACAGTGAGTCTTGGAGTTTGTAAAATCACAGCTGCATTGTTGACAGTTACATATGTATCTTGGTGTTAAACATCTGTTTTGAATGAAGACAAATGTGTAAGTGCTGATCCAATGATCACATTCCCCATGTAGCAAGAGTGAGCAGTTTTTATATGGCCCACACTCAGATCAAGGCCTTACATCCAGGTGGCCAATAGCTCTCTCTCCTCAAGACATATAGGTAATCCCATATAGAGTAGGACAGTATATATCCCTCTGTCCCTCTTTTCTAGGAGCTCTATATAGTTGGTGCGTGTGAGTGTATAACAGAGCTCCACACCAATAATCCCCCCAGTAATGTGTCTGAGTGTATCACAGAGCCCCACAGCAATAATACTCCCAGTAATGTGTCTGAGTGTATAACCGAGCTCCACAGCAATAATACTCCCAGTAATGTGTCTGAGTGTATAACAGAGCTCCACAGCAATAATAATCCCAGTAATGTGTCTGAGTGTATAACAGAGCTCCACAGCAATAATACTCCCAGTAATGTGTCTGAGTGTATAACCGAGCTCCACAGCAATAATCAGGGGCGGGCTGGGCCGGGGGGCAGGGAGGCAATTGCCCCCCAGGCCACCCTAAATTCTGTTAGGACCGGCCGCTGCAGGGCCGGCCCTTTAAATGCTGCAGCCGCCTGAGCGCTCTGTGAAGAGCCTCAGGCGGCTGCAGCTCCTCCTCCCTTGCCCTCCCCTGTAGCGTGGCCGAGCAGCTCTGCTGTCCGCGGTGCCTGGCCGGACTGATAGGAAGGCGCACGCTGAGTGTTCACTTCCTGTCAGTCCGGCCGGTTACAGGAAACAGAAACTCCTGTTCCGCGTGGAACAGTAGTTTCTGTTTCCTGTAACCGGCCAGACTGACAGGAAGTGCACACTCAGCGTGCGCCTTCCTATCAGTCCGGCCGGGCTTGAACAGCAAACTGCTGCGGCCACATACAGGGGAGGGCAAGTGAGGGGAAAAGAGTGGAAGGGGGAGGGAGGGAGAGAGGTGAAGATGGGGAGGGAGAGGTGAAGGGGAAAGGAGGTGAAGGGGAGAGAGGAGAGGTGAAGAAGGGGAGAGGAGAGGTGAGAAGAAGAAGGGGGAGAGGAGAGAGGTGAGAAGAAGGGGGGAGAGGAGAGGTGAAGGAGAGTGAGAGGGAGGAGGAGAGGTAAAGAGGAGGGAAGTAAGTGAAGGAGGGGGAGTAAGAAAATTGGTATGAAAAGCGGGGGGTAAAAAGAGCAAGGGGAGTAGTAGGAAGAACACAGGGAGGGGGGAGTAGTAAGAAGAACATAGGGAGGAAGATGGGGAAGTAGGACGAAGAACATGGGGGCAGTAAGAAGAACATAGGGAGGGGGGAAGGAGAACACAAGGGGGGAGGTGAGGAGAACACAGGGAGGGGGGATGAGAAGAGCACAGGGAGTGTGGGGCAGAGGAGAGACCACTAAGGGGCAGGGGAGAGCTAGAAGGGACAGCTCTATAGGACAGGGGGCAAGACAGGGAGCTCTTTCACACTACGCGCACACACACAATGCATCCCTATACATACACAGAAACACACAATGCATCCCTACACACACAAACACAACATGCTTCCCTTACACACAGAGAAACACACAATGCAACCCTTACACACAAAGACAATGCATCCTTTGCACACATACACAGAAACACACAATGCAAACCCTTACACACACACTGCTTTTCTTACATACACACAGAAACACAATGCATCTCTAACACACACTCAATGCACACACTTACAGACACACACCTTGCATCCCTTATGCAAACACAGATTCACGCAATGCATCCCTTACACACAACCAGAAAAACACAATACATCCCTTATACACAAATACACACTGCTTCCACTACACACAAACACACTGCATCACCTGCACAAACTGGTATCCCTATACACTACATACCATAAGCACACATATTAGATCCTCTACAATAACACATAACACATCCCTACACACTCCACTCCCTGTGAGCGAACTCATGGGTGGGTGGAACATATAAGTGGACTTATGAGTGGGCCTTGTGGGCATACTCACCGTCAGGCCCTGGGGCCCAGAACTTGAGCTGTGTAAGGGCCCCCCCCAAAAATGGAGCTGCTTCCAATTCTCCCAGAACATTGAATTTTGTGACCACAGTTACAAACAGCCTCCAGAGATCCTGTTCTACACCAGACCAGTGGAGCCAAACTGCAGCCCATCATCATCCTCATCTGCTTGTAAGTAGGCAATCTAGTATATTATTAGTGACACTAATCTATAATTTACCTCACATTAAAGGGACGCTACAGAACGACTGCAGCTTAATGAAGTGGTTTTGGTGTCTATAGCCGGTCCCTGCAGGCTTTTTAATGTAAACATACACTGTGGCAGCACTGGCATTAGTTGGTATGGCAGCTCATATAGGTGGGGCATTGTGATGTCACATGGGGGGCGGCAAATACAGCTGTTCCCCATGCAGCCACAGGTGCCGCTGTGCTGGGAGATTGTGATTACTCTTCACTTCCTCCCAGCCTACAGAGCAGCGCATGGGAGAGAGAGAGGAGGCATGATTTAATCTTACAACAAATCCACTAAGCAAATCTTTATAAATTTGGGGGGATCAGCTCTGTTTCCACAGTTTATCGGTGTTTACTCTGATGTCTGTATTAATATTGAGGGATTTCTAAGTAGTAACATCAGTGTGTGTCAGCAGGGCCAACCGTTGGGGTGTGCACGCTGTGCGGTCACGCAGGGTGCCATCACAACAGAGGCACCCGGCGGACAACACAGCTCACAAGTTGGGGACACCAGCCTATTCAATTTAAACGATTCGCTGGTGGTCCACTGGTGCGCACCAGCAGTAGGTGCAGTCAGATTATAGCCTCTCCGTCGTGGTTCCGGCGCTCAGTTAGTGAGTCAGAGCAAAGGCTCAGAGATTCTCAGCCTGCGCTCTGACAACATTGAAAGTCAGAGCCGTGAAGGAGCAGGTATGGCAAAGAGCTACTGATTAGCATAACATCAATATCCGTTATAAAACCAGGAAAAGGTGGGCACCATTGCACTGATTTGGTGGTGCAATGGGCCACTTGACTGGTTTTGCCCCCCAGCTCCACAGCAATAATACTCCCAGTAATGTGTCTTTAAACTACAATAAATGTGTTTAGTAATCAGTATTTGTAAATAAGATATTTTGCATGTTATAAACTAGATTTTCAAGCCCTTAAAGCGGCACTGTCATGGCTGCACCCATTTTTTTTTAACCCCCTCCCACTACATATTATTGTCCCCCTAGTCACCTCCAAATGCCCTTGGGTCCTCCATTTTACCTTTTTAAAGTTATGTATTGCCTGGACCTAGGGATGCGCCATCTTTGTGTTGGCAGATGAGGGCTCCATGGGACACGTCATCTCCCGAATACCCCTACTTGAGATGCCTCGGGTAGGGGCATATTTACTGAATAATGAGCAGCCAGTGACTGCCCAATAAAGGGGGACCTAGCACAGTTACTCCATGCCCCCACGGTGGGGCCTCGATTAAAATAATTAACTGTGGTGTACAGTGTCCACCTAGCCCCAACCTGTGAGGGCTATTCAGCTAAACAGGGTACCAAGGCTCCACCCTGGCCCCCCCCCATGGGCAGGTTGGCGGCCCTAAAATGACAAAATGGGGTGTCCTATTACCACCCTCCCCAGGCCTCCACCCATCAGTGGCAGGTGGGGGCCTTATTGTCCTCCCTCACTGCCACCATCCATTAGCTAAATATAAAAATAAACCCTCCACCCCCCAGGTAACGCTCAGGTTGGGGTCATTAATAAAGTGCTGATATAGTAGCATGTCATTTGGAGAGGCTACCAAAAATTTAGCTCCCAACCTCCATTACTATAATAGAGGAGCTTGTTCTGTTTCACATGGTCTACGTTAATATTAGCACTACATTCGCAATCCTCACTGGACAGGGGAGGAAAGTTACATCTAGTCCTCCATTTTCTTCTCACGAAGGACACACTGTGCAGGGTTTGATGAGCTGGCTGTACTCAGCTGACTGTCATGTGATGCGGGACTTGGTGGCATGTCTGAGCTGTAAGCACTGCGCAATGAGTGACAACACGAAATGTCTTTGCTTTTTGTTCTGTATCCTGTCCTAAAATAAAATGAGCGCACAGACTGATGTTTATGGAGTCACATGCTGCTGCCTCTGGTTAATTTTCCCAATATAGTATCTCATCTTATAAACACAAATAACCACCAACATCAAACTGTCGTCATTAGGGATTTCTAAGATTTTGTTACTGTGTTTGGGAACCTTCACCTGTATTCTCAGGTAGGCAGCTGCAAGTGCTATAGCTTAAAGCAGTGATGGCGAACCTTTTTGAGCCCGAGTGCCCAAACCGCAATACATGCCAAAAAATTTTTCTCCTTAAAGTGCCAACACGGCAATTAAACCCAAATACTGAGGTTTAAGTTTAGAAAAAAACAACTCGTACTGTTGTCCTAACTAATAACTTTTGTTTTAAAAGAACACAGAGAGTTCAATAATACAAATTTTAAATAATGATATAAATAGATAAAATTAAGCTTATATTTATTAGTATCTCCAACAAATGCAATACATACACACAGTCTGCTGAATACAGAGACTGATGAATACACATACAGACAGACTGCTGAGTGTACACACACACACACAGACTGCTGAGTACACACACACACACACAGATTGCTGAGTACACACACACACACAGACTGCTGAATACACACACAGACTGCTGAGTACACACACACAGACTGCTGAGTACACACACACACACACAGACAGACTTCTGAGTACACACACAC